CGGGCGGGCGGGCGGGGGTACGTACCTTGTGCATGATGCCGTCTATCGCGCCCCGCCGCTCGGCGAACGTGTCGGCGAGGTTGGCAAACTCGGCGTCGCGCGCGGCCTTGCGCTGCTGCTCCGCGTGGCCGGGGTCCTCCCACTCCTCCGTCGCGCGGAGGGCGCCGTGGGCGCGCTTGGAGCCCTTGGAGTCGGCGGAGCCGATGCCCTCCATCTGGAGGTGCATCCCGGCGAGGTCGCGCTGGAGGTCGCGGATGGAGGAGAGGTGCGCCCACAGCTCGTCCTTGGTCTGGTCTAGGGATGCGGTGCTGGGCGCGTGGACCTTGGGCCGATCGGGGGCGGGAGGGCTGACGATGACGCCTGCGACGGAGCCGGAGAAAGGGTCGTAGATGGTCTCCGCCGTGGGCGGGAGGGGCGTCGCGGTGGACGAGCGCAGAGCCAGGGTCGGCGGGCCCGGTGGGGACGAGCCTGGGTTGGGATGGTCTGGAGGGGGGAGATCGCCTGGAGCAGGCGGTGTGATGCCTTGGCTGGGCTGGAGGCCTCGTAGTTCCGCGAGAACGGCGTCATGGGGGGTAGCGAGGCCGGGCGGGGCTGTGAGGCGGTCGAGGGACGGGCGGGCGGAGAGCGAGGGGGCCGTATTGGGAGAGTGTTGTATTCTGGATGGAGGACGCTCGTCAGGGGATGATGGCGAGGGCGGGCGGTCTCCAGGCTTTGAGGTAAGGCGCCATGAAGGTGGAAGCATGGCCGTGAGTGTTCAAGAGCACTTGCCATTTCGGGCCCATCCTGTGCAGAATCGTGATGCGGCGGCATGTTCCGAGCAAGTCGAGTCGACAAATTCAGGGAGGATTCACCCAGCTGGGCCCCTCTGGGAATGGGTGATGCATGGCAGACTACTCTCTCGGTCTCTCGCTCGCAGGCTGTTCTGTCCAGCCGTATGTTCGCCGAGCAACGCCAAGCACACTCGAGCATTTTTACAGAATGTTCAGCATTGCCAGGGGCACGGGCACCGTGCCTCCCATTGGGTTCACATTGTTTCATCGCCTGATCCGCTACCACTAGCCTCCGTCTCCCGCAGCCTGTGCGCGACACCCGCCCCATACATACCAATTCGATAGACCAGGCGCACCCCGCGTCTCTCCGTTGTTGGCCCTCCCCCCCTCCCTCCAAGTCGGCTGCAAGCAGGCACGCCACCGTCCCGGACGGTCACTAGCATTGTTCAGCCATTATGCGCGCGGCCAGCGCCGTGTGGGCCGAGCAGACGCGGTGTGTGTGGACCCTACCTAATTGCGCAACGCCTTGGGAGCAAACGAAATCATATTCTGCCTAGCGATCGATGTGCATCTCGATGCCAATAGCAACTATCGGGAGGCTCGAAGCTTAATCGCACACGATGTTGCCCACGCCTCAATCAGCAAGGGCCGTGATGATGATGCTGCTGCGCACAGACGGTTTCTGTTCAACGTTCAGGAATCATGGACTGCGCCTATCCCGCGGGCGATCGAACTAGCAGCGTCCCAACCTGTTTTTCTGCCGTAACGCGCGTGCGTAAGCGGAGTTGGACGACGGTGGGTGCATTCTAGACAGACCGTCAAATATATGTGGTGTGCACTCAGCGACCATTCCAACGTCGTCCTGGCGGCGTGCGCGTGCGTTCTCTATACATTCCTGATGACTCGCGTGTGCTTGATCATTGATTCGGGGTGTGGACTGCTCTCACTCGCGCCGGTGATCGGCCACGACCAACTGCAAGCGAAGGAACGCAGCTCCTCCCCACTGGGATCCGAGCAAGCAAAGTCGGAACGAGCGAGGGCTGGTGTGCGAGATCTCCTTGAAAATGCTGGGCCGGTGTGCGACATCTTCTTGAAAATGCTAGGCTGCCCCTTCGTGTGCTTCTGGCTATCGTTGAGATGCCGTATCCTTTAGCACCGTCCATGACGGGTCTCTGCATTCGGAGGGGCCTCGTGCCGGCCGTCGAATTATGTCATATGAGTACGGCGAATCATAATTGAGGGTGCGGATGCGGAGTTTGTCAATTAGTCTTGCGTTCATAATACGTCAAACCGCGTGCAAGAAAAAGACACTGGCATTGGATCAGGACGACGCGCTCCACACAAGAAGGCAGGTACATTTATCTACTCGACAAGACCCCTGCAGACTCGTCGTCAAAGGAGGGCACGGAAGGAGGGCCAAGAAGGAGTGGGAGGTATTATGCACAGCTAATTATACTTGTATGTACGCGGTTATATGCATTACTAGCTTGGCTTCATTTCACGGGGGAGTTCAAAGTCCGGCCGGGCCTCACAGGTAGCAGCGGGAAAAAGTGCTGGGGGGGAGATGGCAAGGCCACTGTCCCTTGGAGACGGCACCCTCCCATTCGGCCGCATGGGAGCGATAGAGATCAAGCGCTGCGCGAGCATTTTCGAGCTGGAGATCCGAACATGTCAGAGCGGATACGAAAGGGAAATGAGGGGGACAAATTTCGGCACCGCCGGGGGCTGAAAATGGTACGCACCGCATCGACTTTGCTGTCCTGAATTCTGCGGCGCATAAGGTGCCACATTAGGGTCTGGAGGCCGATGATTTGATTTGGAGTGCGGAGAGCATTCCGGAATGGCTGGTAGAGCGCGACGTCGCGGGTTGCAACCGCGGGATGAGGAATGCCGAGGACTGATCGGAACAAGGTGGTGAGCGGAGAGAGGGCTTTTAATGTTGGGGGTGGACACGCACCGACCAAGTCCTGCCAGAGGGAGTGTCCGACGAGCACCTTGTCCTTCATGAGGGCAGCAACGTGCTGCTGGACGTCCTTAAATGGGCGTGCCCCGTTATCTGCGAGCGGAGAGGGGACGGGTGAGGTTGGCACTGGGAAAATCAATTGGGCGGGGCGGCGGACATACTGGGGTCTAAATCTGTGGCGGAAAGGCCGGTGGTGCTAGTGCGATAATCAGACACGGGCATTGTTGGCTGGACGAATATGTCACAGAGGGTCTGGCCGCGGTAATTGACGATAGCGACGCGTCTATAAAAAAAAACAAAAGAGTGTAGAAATGGGACGGGGCTCGGGCGGGGGACGTACGCCAACATGGAAGTGCTTCCGCCTGGTCCGCAGCCGACACAAGTGGTGGCTATGCTCAAGAAGGAGTCGGGGACCGGGACGGCGAACTTCTGAGACATGAGGACGGTGTGAGAGGGGGAGAAGGGAAGGAAAGGGAAAGGCAGGGGATGGAGAGAGAGGACATTGGGGGCTGAATTTATGGGCTGGGGGGTGACGTTGGAATGCAAAGGGAGAGGGGAATAATTGGGGGACGTCGAGGACACGGAATGAGAGAGACGGGGCGACGGTGAACGGGCATGGCTGGAAGAGGATGGGCGAGAGAGAAGATCGAAGTGGCTGAATCTGAGAGAGATTTGAGCGAGTCAATCAAGATGAGGCGAATCTCGGGCTCGAACTTGCGTCGGCGACCTCGGGCAGCACAGATGTGATCCTCCCCGCGCAATCTATCGCTGCCTGCCCAATCCGTGGTCTCCGAGGGTCCGATCATCTTCATCCGTCCCAGTCTGCGCCCGCCCCCCGCCGGCCTCCGCCGTCCGAGTCGACGCGGGCGGGGGCGGGGGCGGGGTCGCTGCTCGCTGCGACCGGGGACGGCGAGGGCTGTGGATTCGCAGAGAGAGAGAGAGAGCTGAAAGTCTGGCCCGACTTGAGCCAACGTCGAAGAGGCGCAGAGAGAGAGAGAGAGAGACAGGACGAGTCACCTTTCGATAGCTGCTCTGGCGTGGCAGGCGGCGCGTTACGATCATGGCTCTCGACCACGCTCGCGCATCAGACTCAGATCCTGCGCATCGCTCCGTCGCTCACTATGAATGCCATTGCCCGACTAATTTTCGCTCTCTCTCACTACATGTTCTGCTTCCTCTTCCCTGCCGCCATCCGTGCCCGCCACAGCCGTCTCCGGACAAGCCGCCAGTGCCAACCCTCTCTGGCCCGCCGCCCGAAGCGGAGGAGCTCGCCGCGTTGAGCAGGCTGCCCCGACAGCGTGCCGTGCGCCACGTCGTGAAGAAGGACGTTCTCGGCCGCCATCTCCGCCTGGACCTGCTCGACAACCTCCTGCGATCGAACGACGTCGAGTGCCAGCCGGCTGTTCGCCTGCTTGATTGCCAGAGACGCAAGCCGCCGCCGGACCCTATCATCCACCACACGTAATCCCCACCGCCGTACGAAGCTCTGCACCAGCCCCAGTCCCAGATCCCCGCTCCTCACCGCCCGTTTCAGCGGCCGCATCAGCCGGAACACCGTCGTCGCGTCCGGCTCCAGCGTCGGCCGCGCCCGCACCATCCGTCCAAACAGCTTCAGCAGCGCGTTCAACTCGCCGGCCCCGTCCTGCTTTCCAGGCATCAGCAGCAGGTGCACAATCTCCAAGTACCGTTTCCTCCTCCACGCACTCGCCCGACCCGGCGCGTGCTCCAGGAAGCTCCTCGCCGCCGCCTCCGCCAGTGCCCGCTCCCCCATCCGCACCAGCGCACGCACAACGCAATACACGACACGCACCGGCACATGCTCCCACTCCCACGCAGTCACCGACGGCAGATGGCTCACCAGCGTACGATACCGACTTTCCCGGACCCCGGCGTCCACCCGTACCTTCTCCTTCGGCGGCCGCACCACGTCCCCCCCGTCCCGGTAC